TCTCTCTCTCTCTCTCTCTCTCTCTCTCTCTCTCTCTCTCTCTCTCTCTCTCTCTCTTCTCTTTAAAAAAATAATTAGCTCAGTGGAACAGCACTTGCATAGCAAGCATGAGGATCTGGATTTGACCTCCAGCATTATAACAAAAAACAAAACAAAACAACAACAACAACAAAAAAATGTGCTTATTGTGACTATCTTTGAAAAGGCCAAGATTTAAAATGGAAGCTCTTATTTGACTCCAAATGTGTGAGAGATGAAGAAACCAGATCATCAGAGTACAGTGACTGGCAGGTGGGGGCCTGTTGGGACAGGTGGTTGGGAGGGGGAAGGAGTTCCACTTGGCAGTTATTGGGTGGGTCAAGAAGGGTGGAAAGAGGTGATTTCAACATGGGATGGGCTTCAGCTCAGAGGTGCTCAGAGCCAGATCTGTGCTGAAGGGAAGGAAGGAGGTGGGGGTTGTGTGGTACCCACCCCCACCTCGCCCACTCACCAAAACACTGTGAGTAGAGCTCCCTGCGGACAGGGCAGATGCCCGTCTCCCTGGCTTGCCGCTGCTGCAGCTTCAGGTCCAGCTGCTCCTGGAGGTGCACCACGTCCATCCTGGTGCTGGGGGTGCTGGACACCTGCTGGATCCATAGCTGCGTGTCCTCCACCCACTCCCTGCGGCACAGACACAGCCACGCTGAGCAGAATCCACATGCTTGAGAGAGTTCTCAGGACATCAGCAGAGAGATCTCTTTGTGTTCTCGGCCTGAGCAGGAGTGAGGGGCAACTCTGCCACCAAGCCACCAGAATCCCTCACTCCACTCCTGTGGTGTGGGTTCCAAAACCATACTTGCTTTGCTGCCCCACAGAAAAGGATCTGGGGAACAGGGCAACGTCTACTCCCCAGGTGATCTTCATGAAATCATCACCACTGCTGCAGATTTTACCCTCCTAACATGATTTACATTGTGTTGCCTGATCTGTGTGGAAGGCCCAGTGGAACTCTCCACTGACTTAAGGAGTAAGAGACACAAGATTCCATAAACCTTGTGCAAGCCAGAAAGAGGCAAGTGTATGTGCAGGGGTTGCGGAGGATCTTGACGGGCTGTGCCTGCATGGGCTACCCACAGGGAACTTCACGGTGGATAACAACCAGGGTCTGGAATCACCACATAGGAGACGTGGCGGAGAGAACTCCAGTGCTGCTGGTGGGAGGGGATCAGCTGACACATCACTTCCCTCCATTGAGCTCCTTCTCAGAGGAGATGGATCTCTGTTTGCCTGTTTCCTCTTTTCATTAAAGCCTTAAAAACTGCTGTCAATATGTTACATAAGAACAATACATTTCATAAGAGCAGTTGAGGGGCTGGAGATATAGCTCAGTGGTAGAGTGCTTGCCTCCCATGCACAAGGCCCTGGGTTCAATCCCCAGCAACACAAAAAACAAACAAACAAACAAACAAAAAACAGGAAGGCTTCACCTGGAAGAAATGATATTTCTTCTGATAGAAGAAATGAAGGGAATAGTAAAGGAAGAGTATCCTTGGAAGTGAGAACAGCAATTGTTAAGGCCCTGAGGTGGGAGAGTGATTGAAGTGCTTCAGAAAGGCAAGTGGAGACCTCTGGGGCAGTGAACAAGAGAGAAAATGGGGGATATCATGGGCCAGGCCATTCTACATCTTTGAAGCTACTGTAAGGACTTCAGGCTTTACTCTGAGTGAGGTAGGAGGTCATTACAGGTGGAAGACTTGGTCTGATCTGATTTATGTGGAGAACACTGTAGAAGCAAAGAGTGGAAATAGGGTTTTTAAACAGGCCATCGCAAGTAGTATGGGTGACAGAGACCAGGGACAAGATGGCAGAAAAACTTGGTGAAAAGTGGTTGGCCCAGGGAGATAAACTGAAGGTGAAGTCAAAAGAATTTCTTGAAGGATAAGACAGGTGGCGTGAGAGACCGAAAGCATTGAAAGGCAACCTGTGTCTCTAGCAGAAAGAAGACTGAGATGGGGCAGTGGGAAGAGGAAGAAACTGTGGTTTCATTTGGACATGTTGAACTTGAGATGCCTATGGGACAACTTGGTGAAGGCACTGAGGAAGAAGTAGACTATATGGTCTGGAATTTAAGAGAGAGGACAGGGCCGAAAAAACACATTTGGGATCCATCAGTATACAGAGGGCATCTAAAGCCATCAAACTGGCTGAGAACACTCAGGGTAGATTTAAGGTTTCCCACCACCCTCCCAGAGTCCAGCCATGTGCAAGTTCTAGGAGCTCTAAGAGGCAGGAAGGAGATACCAGCCAGGAACTAAGGCAAAGTGCCTCTCCCTGCATTTCTAAATATTCTGGGATATAAAAGCCTTCTCCCAGTCATTGTTCATTTTTTTTTTTTTTTACCTTGGGGGCAGGATGGCATTCAAGATTTCTTCTGCCTGCTTTGTAGGATCTGGGATACAGGAAGTTGAGGGGAGCTTGGCTTTGGGCGGCTGTGGGACTGGACCTGAGGGTCCAGGCTGCTGGGGGCTGACTTTCAGAGGCCGAGCCTAAGAGGAAGGAACAGGAGATATTTCAGGGATTCAGCTCCACACAGCCTGGTCCTCTGGATTGCTCCAGGTCTTCTGCCAGTCTCTCCATCCCAGCCTACTTTTCTCATCTGTCTGCTCAGCAGAAATGTCTGAGCTGAAGCCAGCCATGAAGAGTCTCTGGTCCCAGCCCAATGACTGAACTGATGTTTCTGGCTCAAGTGGTCGGTCACTGCTATAGTGATGGGAAATCACTGCCTGATCTACTCTTGAACCCAGCTACCATGAACAACAGCCAGCTTCATCCATTTCCTTGTGACTTCTGTCTCATTCTAAATCTCTGCTCTAGAGTCACACCCAACATTTGGGCCTTCTCTAGTGTATGCTAGCCAATTGCTCTACCACTGAGCTACATCCCCAGCCCCATCGGGGCTTCTTGCACCGCTCTCCCACCCCTCTTCCCTGACCCAATTCCCTTTACTGCCAGTCTCTGCAATTCTTGTCCCTTGGGGTTCCCGACCTTCGGCTCTGAGATCTGTCTTTCCCCGTTGAAGCTTTCAGGTCCCTCATCCCCTGAAACCCGTCCTTACTTTGGGGCTCCGTTTCTCAGTGTTCCGGCTCACCAACACCGGGGTGTCATACTTGAGCAGAGAGTCAGCAGGGGGAATCATGCCGGCGGCTGGGACGGCGGCTCAGCAGCTAGCCCTCTGGTCCGGGCCTTGTTTACGGTAACCACGGAAACCCCCTGGCCAGGGCGGGGCTTCCGAGTGGGGTGGGGCCATCAGCGCGCGGATTTCATTCCAAACAGCCGGCTTCAAACCTCCTGTTCTTGGCTTCCCAAGCCTCCTGTTCATTGGTTCGTCCTGTACTTTCCGGAGCAGGGAAAACAAGGTTCAAGTTCCTACACTGCGTCTACTTTGCTATTTGAATGGGATGGAGGGATCACTTTTGCTGAACCTCAGTTTTGACTACTGCAAAATGGGAGTCATCTCTTGACCCCTGAGTAAAGGGTTGGGGACGATTTCCGAAGAAGACATCAATTATTTCCAGGTTTAAAAAAGTATTTTTTAAAATTAAATGGAGCCGTGCGTTCGAGGCCAGCCCCACCAAATTAGCGAGGCCCTAAGCAATTTAAACCATGTCTCAAAATAAAGAATAAAAAGTGCTGAGGGGGCTGGGGTTGGGCTCAGTGATAAGCGCCCTTGCCTAGCATGCGTGAGGCACTGGGTTAGATTCTCAGCACCACATACAAATAAATAGAATAAAAGTCCAACAACAACTAAAAAGTATTTTTTTAAAAAAGTGCTGGGGGTGTAACTGAGGGGTAGAATGTTTGCCTTGCATACACGAGGCCCTGAGTTCAGTCCCCAATACTGAAAAAAGTAAATAAATAAATGGAGAAATGACAGTTTCACATAAAGTTGAGGAAATAGAGGGAAAATATGCTAGTGATTTACCCATGTGCTACCACATATGATTGCATTTCCATCTCTTCATTCCTTCATATTTCCAAATGCCAAAGTAATCGCAGTTTAAGCACAATTTTGCATCCTGCTTTTTCGTCTAAAAGTCAGGTTTTAGAGTTAGGGGCGTAGCTCAGTGGTAGAGCTTCCCCAGTATGCGCGAGATCCTAGTTTCGATCCCCTGTCACAAAATTAAATTTTTTTTATTTGCCATAGTTTGCAAATAGTATACTAATAACCACAATCCATCCAATAATCGACTAAATGATTCACTATTGCCATGCATTTGGATTATCTCCACTTACAATTACTAATAACGGAGCAACAAAAAGCCTTGGAAAGTGAAAAAACTCATTAGTTTGCTTCCCCCCGCCCCCAAGAGTAGAAACAGCTTTATTGATTATAATGAATTTCAAACGTAGAAACAGAAATAATAACAGTGGCCAAAAAGCCTTTAAAACTGTGCCAACAATTATATGCTGACAGTTAAGTTTTCGTTATGAAATATAAAGGGCTGGGGGTGTAACTTGGAGGTGGAGCGCCAAGGTCTACCTATGAAGTAGTCACAAGTTTGCTTTTGAAACTTAAAATTCCCGCCTCCCGAGATGGGCCAATTGCGTTCCCGCCCAAGAAGGAATCGTCACGTGCTCAGCTTCTCCGCCGCGAGGGCTTCTGGGAGAGTGCGTACCCGGAAGCGGAAGTTCGGTGGCCAAATTCGTCATTTCCTTCGGGGAGAAGAGCTTAACGGACCTGTTTTTTCTTTCGCTCAACCAAACTCGCAGAATGAAGGAGGTGAAGAGCGAGAGGGAGCGAGGAAGCCGGCGAAGGCACCGGGATGGGGACGTGGTGGCGGCAGCGACGGTGGTGGTGAAGCAGGAGCGCCTCAGCCCGGAAGCCGCGCCTCCAATCCACCGCCGTTCGGACTTCTCCGGCGGCAGCCCGTCCCCACCGCCCGGCGAGGCCGGCCGCCCCGGCCACCGTGGAAACCGAGCCCGAGGAGTTAGCCGGTACGTGGGAAGCAGCCCGAGTGGACCTTGGGTCGAGCTGATGGAGAAAGGAAGGCAGAGCTAACGTCAGAAATAGGCCTCGAATGCCGAGCGCAGCACCCTGGGCTTAATACTGAGACGTTGGGAGTGACCCCAAGGTGCCCGTATTAAAGAATGTTTACTCCAGCACCGGTCACTTGCATTGTAGCTGGATGTTGAGAGTCTAAAGCTTATTACGGGCAGGATCCCGCCCCTTCATTCTTGTATCCCCAGCACTTAGTACAGTACGGCCCAGCGGGTAGCACTGGTCGTCCGAGTTGAATGTCTCCCTATCTGCACAAGAATGGAGTGCAGGTGGTGTCTTTCCAGTTACCTGCCCCAAAAGATTGATAGGATTGATCCAGAATCTTGGCAGGGGAAACAACATGGGCAAAGAACTTAAAGTAGAATTGTCATTGTCTTAGAAGCTAGGGGGAAAAATGTATTTAGAGTCTAGTGATTGAAGGAGATAGAGTGTTAAGGAGGAGGCAGAGCACAGGACTTGTGATTATTGGGGAAGGCAGGGTGTTGGTGGTGAGGAAAAAAAACAAAGAGGCCAAGAGCAGCTTCTGGATGGTGGTACCAATTAGAGAGATGACACAGACTCTGAGAAGAAAGGTTTTTGAGGGTTGAGAACCAAGAGTTACCCAAATGAGAAAGTTCTGTAGGCTGTTGGTTATATATGAGTGTCTGGAACTCAAGGGAGATATCAGGGCTGGGAAAATGAAGCCTCTGACTCCATTGAAGCTCAGCAGAGATCTTCACAAATGTGGTGTTTGTGTTTAGTTGGTAAGCCTGATATTTAAAGCTAACTTATGTGGGGGAAGGGAAATTGAGATAAAATCCTGTGTGTACTATGCTCCGAAAAGGTCCCCAGCCAAAAAGAAAAACAAGTCTTCAGGGAGAAGAAGCAAGTCTCCTCGGAATAAGAGAAGCCGAAGTCCTCATCACTCAACAGTCAAAGTGAAGCAGGTAAGTGGATTGGGTGTTTTGATAATTTGTCCAAATCTAGAGTCACTTCAATTGCCATCTAGCTAAAGTGTATATGTGTGTGTTCTGCAGTGGGCTTCTAAAAGCTGGGTGTGTTTGCTTTTTTTTTTTTTTCTGCTTGTTTTTTAAAATTATTTTTGTTTTGAGTAATTTTCATTTACATGTGTTGGTTATATTTGTCACAATTAATAGAAAGGTGTACTCTACCTTGTTTTTGCTAATAGTAAAATCTTTCAGAGCTATAGTGCAGTATCACAATTGGAATTTTGTTGATACAGTCAAGATACAGCATATTTCTATCACCCTGATATTGTCCATTTGTAACCACACCCATTTCTTTCACAGTTTTATCTTTATTTAACTCCAGGAGGCTTCTAATCTCTTCTGGAGGCTGCTAATCTGTTTTCCATTTCTATACTTTTCGTTATTTCAAGAGTGTTACATAGGAGCTGGGGCTATCCGCGTGCGTGCGTGCGTGCGTGCGTGGTGTGTGTGTGTCAGTCACTAGGTTCAATTCTCAGCACCACATAAAAATAAATAAATATGGGGCTGGGGATGTGGCTCAAGCGGTAGCGCGCTCACCTGGCATACGTGCGGCCCGGGTTTGATCCTCAGCCCACAAACAAACAAAGATGATGTTGTGTCCGCCAAAAACTAAAAAATAAATATTAAAAATTAAAAAATAAATAAAGATAGATATTGTGTCCATCTACAACTAAAAAATATTTTTTAAAAAAGAGTGTTACATAGATAGAATCATATGGTATGTGACCTTTGAGATTAGATTTTTTTCATTCAACAGAGTTCTTTGGATTTCATTCAGATTGTTGCATCCATCAGTAGTTTCTTCATTCCTTTTTACTGCTGAACAGTGTTCAGTGGTATGGATTTAGCCATTTGCCTATTAAACAAAACAGGTGCTTTTCAGTTTGGGGCTGTTAAACATATAGCTGCTGTCTGATCATTTGTGTATAGGTTTTTCTGGGAACATTTAATTTCTCTGGATTAAATGCCTACAAATGAATTGCTGAATTGAATGGTAGTTGCATTTTTAATTTCTTAAGAATTGCTAAATAGTTTTTCTGGAGTGATTATTAATTTGCCAAGGCTGCCATAAAAATATCATAGACTAGGTGGCTTAAATAATGGATTTATTTTTTCAATTGTTCTGCAAGCCAGAAGTCCTAGATTAAGGTCAGCAGATTTAGTTTCTTCTGAGACTTTTCTCCTTGGTTTACAAATGGCTGCCTTCTTGATGTGTCCTCACACAACCTTTCTTCTGCACAGACTTACCTGTTGTCTTTTTTTTTTTTTTTTTCTTTTTCTTTTTGTGTGTGTGAGTTGCTGCTGGGGATTGAACCCAGGGCCTTGTGCTTGTGAAGCAAGCACTCTACCAACTGAGGTATATCTCCAGCCCATGTTGTCTATCCTTAAAAAGGACACCAGCCATATTGGATTAGGGACCCACCTGATCCAATTTTATAACCACACCCACTTTTTAACCACACCCACTTCTTTCACAGTTTTATTTAACTCATGGAGTTAAATAAAGTTTGTTAATTATTATGAAATACAGTTTAACTTAATCATGTATTTCCAGACCTCATCTTCAAAAAATGGTTACAATCTGAGTATTGTGGTCTTGGAACTTTAATATATTAATTTTGTGGCTGTACCATTTTACATTCCCACCAGCAATGTATGAGTGATCCAATTTCTCTGCCCATACCCCCTTTTTAGGGGCAGTTCTGGGGTTGAATCCAGGGCCTTGTTCAAGCCAGGCAAGCATTCTACCACTGAGCTACATGAATTTTTGAGACAGGATCTCAGCAAGTTGCCCAGGCTACCCTTGAACATGGAGTCAGTCTCCTGAATAGCAGTCTTTTGGATGTGTGGTTTATAAATATTTTCTCTCACTCTGTAGCTTGTCTTCATTTTCTTAACAGCTTTTTAAATTTTTTTCCAGAGCAAAAGTTTGTTAATTATTATGATACAGTTTATTTTTTTCTCTTATGGATTATGCTTTTGGAGTTCATAACAAATAATTTTTTGCCTAACTCTAGATCCTGAAGATTTCCTACTATATATTTTTTCTTTTTCTTTTTTTTAAGACAGAAACAGATTTATCAAAAATAAAAATGGGCTGGGGACGTGGCTCAAGTGGTAGTGCGCTCGCCTGGCATTGCAGCCTGGGTTTGATCCCCAGCACCACATACAAAGATGTTGTGTCCACTGGAAAAAAAAACTAAAAAATAAATAAAATTCTCTCTCTCTCTCTCTCTCTCTCTCTCTCTCTCTCAAAAAAAAAAAAAAGTTAAAAAAAAACAGTGATTCTTTTATACAACTACACACATATAGAAAAACAGATTTTGAAAACTGAGAAGCAAATAAAAACTGACCATAAAGGAATAAGCGCATCAACCCACAAAGACAGTAGCAGTAAAATAGACATATCCTTATAATTTACAGTTTCTGCTTTAAGTATTATTAAGGAACTAAAGGTAATAAATAACAGCATTTTCTTCCAAGGAAGGCTACATTTTAAGACAGTGGCACTTTTTCCAACACACATGATAGTGTTTATCACTAGGAGGTCCTCATTAAGTAACTTTTAAAGAATGTGCTTTCTGGAGTGGGAAATTGAAGCTACCACAAAAGGATGACATGCAAGAAGAATTGTTGTCCAACAATCTGAGTTTACAATATAAGGCCATAAATATTCTCTGGGTACTTGGTGTACTTGCAACAACCCAATAACCAGCTGCCCTGAAAAGCAAATAGTCTAATGTAAGCCTGCAACATAAAGTTAGATGTCATGGAGAAAGACCATCCATGACAGCTTTTGATTAGGAGCAACATTACCACTTAGATGATTGAAAAATCCATCAGACATATTTGCTATTTAATATAAATGCAGCAATACCACCCCTAAAGTATGAGTTATCTTCAAAGCTTATCAAGGCTAAGGGTGTCATTTATTGGACATCAAATAAGGAATAGGAGATAACATTCAAGTTTTAAACAGAAGGTATTGTGGACAATAGAACTTAAATACGATTTTTTCTTTTCAAATTTCCTACATAATTGTGAGAAAATGAAAGCAATTCTCTTTTAAAGTATAATTTTTTTAAGTACTGCAAATATTTAAATTTTCTCATAAATAAATAAATAAATGATTAAATATTCACATTTTATTTTATAAGTTTTTTGCATTGCTGGTGGGATAATAATAAAATTATTTTTCAATAATAAAATTAATTTTCTGGATATATTTCCTCTGAGTATTTGAAATATTATTAAAATTATAATTTTAAGCAATTTCTTTTAGCAGGTCCTGAACACAGGCACTAACTAGATGTTTTTTCTTAAAATTCTATATTTAAGTTCATTATCTATTTTTAGTGTCTGTGTGGCAGGGTGATAGAACCCAGGAGTGCTCTACCATTGAGCTACATTCATAGTCCTTTTTATTTTATTTTTGAGGCAGAGTCTTGCTGAGTTGCCCAAGCTGGCCCCAAATTTGTAATTTTCCTGCCTCTGACTCCCCAGTTGCTTCGATTACAGGTATATGCCACCACACCTGTTTTAAAAAAGGAAGTCTTAGGGGCTGGGAATATAGCTCAGTTGGTAGAGCGCTTGTCTCACATGCACAAAGCCCAGGATTTGATCTCCAGCACCCCATAAAAAAGCTAAAAAGGAAGTCTTTTTTTTTTTTTTTTTTTTTAAATAACTGCCTCAGCTTCCTGAGCCACTGGGTTACAGGTGTGAACCACTGCACCCGGCTATAACTTTATTTTTTTTAAAAAATTATTATTATATGGTGCTGAGGATCAAACCCAGTGCCTTACATGTGCAGGGCAAGTGCTCCTACTACTGAGCAACAACCCTAGTCCAATTTTTTTTTTTTTAATTTTAGTTGTAGATGGACACAGTACCTTTATTTATTTTTATGTGGTGCTGAGGGATTGAACTCAGTGCCTTACGTGTGCTAGGCAAGTGATATACCACTGAGCTACAACCCCATCCCCTATAGTAATATTCTTGATGGGAGAGAATGAGATCAAACTCCCAGGTATAGGAATTAGTTTTAGATAACAGCACAGATAGTTCATTTTTGGTTCCAGGAATGGGGGGAGGGAAGATAGAATATATGTGTGTAGGTACTGTTGGATAGATAGATGAGGGAAGATCTGACTCTAAGGAAGGAATGGGGAGGAGTTATTGGAGACTGAGGAGAGAGAAGGAGTGAAACAGTCATTAAGGGAAATTAATGGATTAGAAAAAGATAGGGTAGTTGCTGAACATCCTTAAAAGAGGCTTGAGTTGGGGGCAGGGAGCAAGATGTATGCATAAGTAAGCAGTCTTGCTTAACTCTGGTCTAGTTGATCATTTTTTCTGTTCTGGTTCTAGGAGGTGGCTCTGGAGAAGTCCTTATCACCTGATGGGGCAGTCCTCATTTTCTGGCTTTGTATGTTTGCCTGTCAGATTTGTGATCCTGAAAGGGGGCATTTTGGTTTCCATTATATGATTGCTCCTGCTTGGTTGGGGGGCAGTCTTATCATGGGACAATGTGTCTGCAAGGCTCCACTGTTCTTAGAAGGTGTAGAGGAATGAATAAGGACTTGTAGATGCTACTACAGGGGTCTGAAACAGCATGCTATATTGTCCCTATAGATCTTACATCTGTCTTGAAGGAGGACAAGATAGGTAAGGTATAGGGATGATAAACCTTGTATTGTTAGTTTTGGATTGAACACTCCATAAATGTTTCATATGCCTATGTGCAAAGCAGCAAGAAACTTACTCAAAGTTTAAATTAATAGAGGAGACAGATAATGAAGGTATAGATGCCAGGCTTTATCCTGCTTTTAGTTACACATTGGGCATCTGCAAGCCTTAGAGTCTCTGCTTTTAGCAAAGGCAGCCTCTCTAAGTCACTCTTATATTGGGATCAGTCAGAGTGATTTTGATTTGATTCGATT